CTAAGTTCTGATGTGCGGCCGAGTGCCAGAGCTCCTGCTGATGGTAACAGTGGTACTCATCTTACATGGGCTACTGACCTCTTTAGCAGTCGTGACTCCCCCAAGACTGACTTCCCCATCTCTGATGAGGCCATTTGGAAGGCCCAACAGGATGATCCAGAAGTACAGGCCCTGTACCAGACTATCCTGGAAGATGGAGAAAAGTTAGTCAATTCTAACACAAAGCCGACCATCGTTGAAGACGAAGTCTACCGAGTTGCGCAACTACCTCATGGGACACTCTACCAGGTGTACATACCTGAACCTCTACGCCTTCAACTGCTGCAACATTTCCATGAAGACCCATTAGCTGGTCATTTGGGCAGGTTCAAAACGTACAAGCGGTTGCAAGCTCTAGTGTACTAGATGTAAAGTCACATATCCGAAACTGTCAGGTTTGTCAAATGTACAAACCAGAAGGCCGGAAGACTGCTAGCAAAGTTGCAGCGAACAGTGGTTACCCGACCTTGGGTAATGTGTACATGCTTGTTTTTGTCGATTACTATTCCAAGCGGGTGGAGCTCTTTGCACTTCGACAGGCCACACCTTCCAGGGGAAGGGGTGTGTGACGGCCCCAAAGTGGGTGGAGCTCTTTGCTCTTTGCACTTCGACAGGCCACACCTTCCAGGGGAAGGGGTGTGTGACGGCCCCAAAGCGGGTGGAGCTCTTTGCTCTTTGCACTTCGACAGGCCACACCTTCCAGGGGAAGGGGTGTGTGACGGCCCCAAAGCGGGTGGAGCTCTTTGCTCTTTGCACTTCGACAGGCCACACCTTCCAGGGGAAGGGGTGTGTGACGGCCCCAAAGCGGGTGGAGCTCTTTGCTCTTTGCACTTCGACAGGCCACACCTTCCAAGGGAAGGGGTGTGTGACGGCCCCAAAGCGGGTGGAGCTCTTTGCTCTTTGCACTTCGACAGGCCCCTCCTTCCAGGGGAAGGGGTGTGTGACGGCCCCAAAGCGGGTGGAGCTCTTTGCTCTTTGCACTTCGACAGGCCCCTCCTTCCAGGGGAAGGGGTGTGTGACGGCCCCAAATTTGTCTGAACAGTCTCGGTGCGTCTCCTCCCTTCGCTGCGATTCCCCTTTAATTCCAAATTTAAATAGCCAGCTGCATACAAATGGTGACGGTGGTGCGAGAGAGGAAGTGCTCTGAAGCTTGTTCATACCTTTTTCTGTTTTGTTCTTAAAAGTGAGCTGTAGCCATAAACGCTACCTGAGCCTCAAGGAAGCGAAAACTACCACCAACATTCCTAAACGTGACGTTCTCTGCTGGAGTTCTACTGTCGGATCGGATTGACTCAGACTTAAACTGACTGACTCCTTTTTTACATACGGTATTTCATTTGATTTCATGGTGATCTGCTGTGTATTTGTTACTAAGAGTTGTTGGGGAATAATATATTGTGAATCCTAATCATTTTGTATAGTGTGGAACGAGCGTTTATGGTTTGTGAGTGAGACTGGTTTTACGCACCACTTATTGATGAACATTGCGCGCGCATGAGGTCAAATAGGTTCAGTTGAATCATTTACCGGGCCGGACTGTATTTTTTATGCCTGTGGTAAAGGACTTTTCCTGAGGAACCTCATTTATTATTTTGTGACTGTGGTGTTGTTTGTGTGATCATTTATTTTGGGATAATGCAAAAGAACACCATTGTTTTGGAGTTATTTCTTTCAATGTTAAGGGTTGATGAAAGGTTTATATTCCGGGCCTCCCGAGTGGCGCAGCGGTCTAAGGCACTGCATCGCAGTGCTAGAGGCGTCACTACAGACCTGGGTTCGATCCCAGGCTGTATCACAACCGGCCGTGTCCGGGTGTCCCATAGGGCGGCGCACAATTGGCCCAGCGTCGTCTGGGTTAGGGGAGGGTTTGGCCCAGCGTCGTCTGGGTTAGGGGAGGGTTTGGCCCAGCGTCGTCTGGGTTAGGGGAGGGTTTGGCCCAGCGTCGTCTGGGTTAGGGGAGGGTTTGGCCCAGCGTCGTCTGGGTTAGGGGAGGGTTTGGCCCAGCGTCGTCTGGGTTAGGGGAGGGTTTGGCCCAGCGTCGTCTGGGTTAGGGGAGGGTTTGGCCCAGCGTCGTCCTGGTTAGGGGAGGGTTTGGCCCAGCGTCGTCTGGGTTAGGGGAGGGTTTGGCCCAGCGTCGTCTGGGTTAGGGGAGGGTTTGGCCCAGCGTCGTCTGGGATAGGGGAGGGTTTGGCCCAGCGTCGTCCGGGTTAGGGGAGGGTTTTGCCGGGGGGGGGGGCTTTACTTGACTCATCGCGCTCTAGCAACTCCTTGTGGCGGGCCGGGCGCCTGCAAGCTGACTTCGGTCGTCAGTTGAACGGTGTTTCCTCCGACACATTGGTGCGGCTGGCTTCCGGGTTAAGCGAGCGGGTGTTAAGAAGCGCGGCTTGGCGGGTCATGTTTCGGAGGACGCGTGACTTGACCTTCGCCTCTCCCGAGCCCGTTGGGGAGTTGCAGCGACGAGACAAGCCCGTCATTGGATCGTAATTGGGGTGAAAAAGGGGATAAAAAATTGAAATTACGTTTATATTCCAGGACTGACTTTTTCCATGAGTCGTTTGTATTGGTCTAGACTTAACTGACAGAAAAGGAGAAATCAAACATTTATCTGGTAGGCATGACCTACCTGGCACCCATTAACTAAAACTAAACTCAGGACTCAAGTCAAAACCGTTAGTGTGTGTGTTTTTTAAACATCCTCCTCTCCTCTCCAGGTCCAGGCAGCGTCGTGAGCAGGAGGACCGAGCGGAGGGAAGGAGGGACTGGGCGGAGTCTGAGGGGGGCAGGGAACATCGTCAGGGTGACCACTGGAGAAGACAGGAAGAGAAACGGTGCTGCTTCCTTTGTGGAAGCCACACCCACATGAAGAAAGACTGCCCCCAGTACAGAGGACCTGCAGGCACCTTCTCTTCTTCTCCCTCCTCTACAAGCCACAGAGGGAGAGTAAGACCGGTATGATGAACACGCACACGTATGTAACCCTTGTGTGTTTATTTGTCCAGGGCTCCCCTCACCAGGAGGAGAAAAATAAGCAACGATATATGATTTTGAATCCACAAGCAGGTCATTGGCCAGTTATTTTACTATAGATTTCACGGTAATTTCACAGAAGCTTTTAAAAAATCAAATGTCAATGTTTCAGTAGCTTACATTACAGCATTGTGTTGGCTTCCTTTGAGCATCAGTGCATCTCATCCTTGCTATCTTCCATAATGCTATCTTGCGTCCACAGGTGTTCCAGGCAGTCTAGCCAGCAGAGGCACATGGGTCGGTGTGGTCCCAGGAAGGAGCCCAGTGGACTGAGGAGAGAGAGAGAGGGAGGAAAGGAAGGAGAGAGAGCGAGGCAGCTCTAGCCCCAAACTCTACTCCCTCTTGAGGTCTAACCTTCAGTCCACCAGGCTGAACCTAGAACACCCGGAACATAGAATCCAACCTGTTGGAACCTCGGTGGATGGTTGGCAGAGCCTGAGAAGGCTGTCTCCCAAATGGCACCTTAATCCCTATGTTGTGCCCTACTTATGGCCAGGGCTTTTACGTTTGACCAGAGTGAGAGGGTCTTTTATGTTTTAACCACCACTCCTGTCTCAGAGGAACTCTTTTTAAAGCGTTGTATTGTGTTTTTAAGTGAAAAGCCATTTTGCATGCTCCTCCTGTAATACATAATACAAAAAATATATATATGTTTTTTAAATGTTTTTTTTAAGAGTGGTTATTTGTTTGATTTGTCTAGTGCACTGACATCCTCCCAAACACCCCTCTCTTCCACTTCGGAAAGCAAATCCAGTTTGAGCCAAGCTGTGTGACTGTGTGTGTTTGTCTGCACATTTAGTTTTACATTTTAGTCATTTAGCAGACGCTCTTATCCAATACGACTTAGTTAACATTAAATTCCACCTAGTCTATCAGAGGGGAAGGTGGAGCTTGTAACACCACATTGCTTATACATACTGAATCAATTACCCTTTTTGATCTATGCAATTGCACACAGGATGGGTTTGGGCTGAGGGTTGATTTGGGGTTTGGCGTACATCAGTGATGAAGGATTGGGGTGCAGGGGTAAAACCAGAAACATGTTTTGATGTTGCCTTTCATGGCCACAGTGCCTCTGATTGGTGGGCCTGGTAGCTGTAATGTGAGGCTCCGCCCTCTGTGTTCTGAGACCTGCTTTATAAATAAACTGTAATTTCATGTCCTGAAGATGTTAAGTATGTTATTCAGATGTATTTTTCTATCATTGAAGATGAGAAAGCCATTGTGCAATGTTGTCTTTTTCTAATCTTCCACAATGATCAGAGGTTAAAGGAAAATGCCACCCAAAAACTATATTTTGGCATTTGTTTCATTCGTCCATTGTGACATAGTACCAACATGTTTTGCTAGTCAGCAATCAAGTTGTCAAGATATGTAACCTTCAAAATAAAACGAGGTGTTCTCTCATTTGTGTCTGGAAGTAACTAGCAAGCTAGCCAACGACGTTAGCCAGTTAGTTTGGGCGCTTGACTGCCGTTGAGGTCAAAACATTCGGATCAACCCTAACCTCGGCCAGAGCGTCCAGTGTGCGCTCTGAGTTTACGAACGACCAGAGTGCGCTCCAGATTGAATTTACGAACGACCAGAGTGCGCTCCAGATTGAATTTACGAACACACCCGAAATCTTAAAATGTTGCATAGCAACAGCATCAACTTCCGGTAGACAGGCGAAGCTTTAGGACGCTCAACTGAAAGGATACCGTTCGTTTACAGCATACTAAAAATGAACTAAAAGTATGTAGTATATACTCATTAAGTATACAGTATGGGTATTCGAACACAGCTCAGTTCTGATTATATACCTCAGTGATCTAGCCTGCCAAATGACCTTATTTCGTATTTGTTGCGTCGCAGAAGTTTTTGAAGGTGTCAGTGTCGTAACCTTACTGGATTTCTATTGGCTCAAGCAGCTGTCATTCAATAAGTCACCCTATCGTGGATCTGTTTGTTAAACCGCTGGGCTGGCTCTTTCCTGCGCTTGCGCACACGGGTGTTTTTCCATGTTACGCAACTATGTTCTGTCGCTAAGGCTGAAACATGTCATTACCAAACATGTCTGCCTCCATGGTGGCTAGGGCGACCGTCCGAGCAGTCAGTAAAAGAAAGATATTAGCCACTAGAGCGGCTTTAACGCTGGTAAGTGTGTACAATTACTCCATTTTATTATTTTTCCTCACCAAACTTCAGTGTCGGTGAAATACTGTTATGACATCATGCTCCGAAGTTACAGAAAGCTAGATAGCTATGTCGTCGTTGTCTTTTGGTGGCGTCAAGGGTCAATCAAATGCTCATAATCCTAGCTAGCTGACTAAACTCAACGTTGATGACGGACTGTGTGAGCGGACTGGAACTCCGACGTCACAAAATATATATTTTCTATATATTCAACAACAAAAACGACTGATTTCAGCACCCAAAGAATTGCCTGTAATTACACAATTTTTATAACTTCGGAGCTCCAGACCGCCCACATTACTTGCTGCTCAACTCCATCGTAACTAGTGGAGTTGAGTTTAATCAGCTAAATCCTTGCTAAATTTCGGATTTAGGTTTTTACATAAATGTGTGGCGATGATTGAGAAATGTGTTTTAACTAGTTAACATAGCTAGTTTGCTAAAATCGCTAGCTAGCAAGTGATTAGGAATACACTAGCTTTAGCTAGCTAGCTAGCTAACGTTACCTAAGGAAGTTTGTCACGCATGTCCAATGACACAGCTATCTAGCTCCGGGGCCGATGAGAGGGGAGCAGCACAGTTTCATCCATTACATTTTAAGATAGCTTGTTAACGTTCGCTGTCTGCAGGCACCGTTTGAAGATAACGGCCTCTGTGACATTGTGATAAAGCAGCTCAGCCCACTGTGACTGCTGCTGGATAGCCCAGTCATGAGCCAGTCCCACTGGAGAGTTGGCCAAACTGCTGTTGTGACATAACAATGAAAACATGGTTATGCGACATTACGTCATACATTACATTTACATTTTACATTTTAGTCATTTAGCAGACGCTCTTATCCAGAGCGACTTACAGTTAGTGAATACATATATATATATTTTTCATACTGGTCCCCCGAAGAGATATTAAGTTTCTTACATGCCAATATAATCAAAACAATCTATGTCTAGGTGTTTTAATCGGCATATGCTTACTTCACTTATGACCTTTACGCCAATTAAGAAAATCTGAGTAAGGTGTTGACATGACTATTGCCAAACTCAGAGTATTACCCTAATTAGCTTAATATTGAATAATTAGTGTGCATGTAAACATACTCAATGTAGTAGTCATTGGTGTCATAGGTTTGTCTATGATCCTAAGAATTTGTAAGGCTTAGCAATTTACTTTGCAACTTGTAATTGAGTTTGCAAATTGTTTTGTAAGCTTGCAGACGTAGGATCTTAATTTGATCATCCTTAGAACTTTCCTGCAATGCATGTACAACCTGTAGTGTACTCAGGGCTTAAAGAGGCTTCTGAAGTTTGTAATTTCCACTTTGAAATTTCTGACTTGATTTTCTTGTCCGAAAAATGTAGCAACCCCTACAAAATGTATTATAAATTAAAAATGTATTATAATCCACATAATTTACATTTCCTGTTGCTGCAGGACTATTTCCCTAACAATTTACAATTGAATTATAGTTCTGTGAGGTCATAGAAGGCCTGCAAACCTTTACCTACTTGGTGAGGTGCTAATTTTTTTTTTTTTGGTGAGGGGTGCAAAAATGTTTGTACCGGCAGATGTAACCAATTGAATACCCTATCAGTTATAGAATATGCATTAAATGCATCCTCAAATTGCAATGTCTGCCTATGCTACACATATTGTCTCAATAACATGTTTTATTTTTAATACCATCAAACACCAAGTTAGGCATAGGCTACCTAATTTCAAAACAGGCCATCACTCATTGTGAATGATAATTCTTTGTTTTACTGGTGAAACGTCCAAACTGAATCTCCATGCCAATCATATCAGGGCGGCAGGTAGCTTAGTGGTTAAGAGAGTTGTGCCAGTAACCGAAAGGTCGCTGGTTCTAATCCCCGAGCCGACTAGGTGAAAAATCTGTCGATGTGCCCTTGAGCAAGGCACTTAACCCTAATTGCTCCTGTAAGTCGCTCTGGATAAGAGCGTCTGCTAAATGACCAATTATTATTTATTTATATATGATTGATCTCAATCAGTTTCATGGGAATATGCATTTAGGTTTTCTTAAATTACTGTTTCGCAGATGGTGTTAAACTATTAGCCTTTCTTGTATTTTGTTTCAATCAATGCATATATCCTGCCTGAGTTTTGGGGCAAGATAAAAACAAGTGACTATTCTGCTTCAGCAAACCATCCTAAAATCTCACTAGAAATTAGGTGTTTTTGATGTAATGTTATAGGCCTACTATGCAACGTTATTATACTGAACAGAAATATAAATGCAACTTGTAAAGTGGTCCCATGTTTCAAAAGCTGAAATAAAAGATCCCAGAAATTTTCCATACACACAAAAAGCTTATTTCTCTCAAATGTTGTGCACAAATTTGTTTACATCCCTGTTAGTGAGCATTTCTCCTTTGCCAAGATAATCCATCCACCTGACAGGTGTTGCATATCAAGAAGCTGATTAAACAGCATGATCATTACACAGGTGCACCTTGTGCTGGTGACAAAAGGCCACTCTAAAATGTGCAGTTTTGTCACAACACAATGCCACAGATGTCTGAAGTTTTGAGGGAGCGTGCAATTGGCCTGCTGACTGCAGGAATGTCCACCAGAGCTGTTACTAGATAATTTAATGTTCATTTCCCTACCATAAGCCACAGCCAACGTCGTTTTAGAGAATTTGACGGTGTCGTTTTAGAGAATTTGACGGTACGTCCAACCGGCCTCACAACCGCAGACCACGTGTAACCACGCCAGCCCAGGACCTCCACATCCGGCTTCTTAACCTGCGGGATCGTCTGAGACCAGCCACCCGGACAGCTGATGAAACTGTTTGCATAACCAAACCATTTCTGCACAAACTGTCAGAAACCGTCTCAGGGAAGCTCATCTGCATGCTTGTCGTACTCACCAGGGTCTTGAGCTGACTGCAGTCCGGTGTCGTAACCAACTTCAGTGGGCAAATGTTCACCTTCGATGGCCACTGGCACGCTGGAGAAGTGTTCTCTTTACGGATGAATCCCGGTTTCAACTGTACCGGGCAAATGGCAGACAGTGTGTATGGCATCGTGTGTGCGAGCGGTTTGCTGATGTCAACATTGTGAGCAGAGTGCCCCATGGTGGGGTTATGGTATGGGCAGGTATAGGCTACAGACAACGAACACAATTGCATTTTATCGATGGCAATTTGAATGCACAGAGATACTTTGACGAGATCCTGAGGCCCATTGATGTGCCATTCAGCCACCGCCATCACCTCATGCTTCAGCATGAAAACGCACAGCCCCATTTCGCAAGGATCTGTACACAATTCCTAGAAGCTGAAAATGTCCCAGTTCTTCCATGGCCTGCATACTCACCAGACATGTCACCCATTGATCATGTTTGGAATGCTCTGGATCGGCAGTGTGTTCCAGTTCCCGCCAATATCCAGCAACTTCGCACAGCCATTGAACAAGAGTGGGACAACATTCCACAGGCCACAATCCACAGCCTGATCACATCTATGCAAAGGAGATGTGTCACGCTGCATGAGGCAAATGGTGGTCACACCAGATACTGACTGGTTTTCTGATCCATAAAAGGGTATCTGACTAACCGAAGCGCGTCTGTATTCCCACTTATGTGAAATCCATAGATTAGGGCCTAATCAATTGATTTCAATTGACTGATGTCCTTATGAACTTTAACTCGGTGTAAAAAAATAATGAAATAAATGTTCTGTTTATATTTTTGTTCAGTGTAGTTGGTGTGACAGTGTTGTGACTACACTACAGAGGGATGCAAGGAGTTGAAGTCTCAGATTAGTCATATTTATATCTGCTATCAGAGATTCCTAGAGTTGCCGTAGGAAGAATGTGCACATGATACTGTCATCGACTGTGTAGTCAACCCCGTCTCTTCTGGTCTCTCTTCCAGACTCCATCTGCTGTGAATAGGATCAGGACCTTACTAGAGGACAAACCAGAATACGTGAGTATCCCTCCAACCTAACCCAACTTCTGCTCCTGGAGACCTCTTTCAGAGCAGGTTTTCGTTCCAGCCGAGCACTGTGTCCAGATAGGTCTGAAGGTGGTGTGAGGGGGTAGTGGAGTAATGGTTGTTGTGTTGTGTCCAGATTGGTGTCAAGGTAGGTGTGAGGACGAGGGGCTGTAATGGTATGACCTACACTCTGGACTTCACCAAACAGAAGGAGAAGGCCGATGAGGAGGTGCTGCAGGATGGTGAGCAAACACCATTATCCCAAATGACATTATCCCAAATGACATTATCCCAACGATAGCCTAATGTTAGAGTAACATCCCCATTTGGACCACTTTGGAAAACATGAATGCTGTCGAGTTATCCTCTGTGATCAATAATCTTGTTAGATGTATTATTTCACCTACAATCTAAATTAAATTAAAATCCCCAACATTATGTTGACATGTTCTCCTAAACATGTTAAGTGATTTTATTATTATTGCTGTAAAATACTGAGTGTTATGGTAGTTGTAATGTTAATGTCTCCCCTGCAGGCTTAGTGATGTTGCGGTAATGTCTCCCCTGCAGGTGTAGTAATGTTGCGGTAATGTCTCCCCTGCAGGCGTAGTGATGTTGCGGTAATGTCTCCCCTGCAGGCGTAGTAATGTTGCGGTAATGTCTCCCCTGCAGGCGTAGTGATGTTGCGGTAATGTCTCCCCTGCAGGTGTAGTATTGTTGCGGTAATGTCTCCCCTGCAGGCGTAGTGATGTTGCGGTAATGTCTCCCTGCAGGCGTAGTGATGTTGCGGTAATGTCTCCCCTGCAGGCGTAGTGATGTTGCGGTAATGTCTCCCCTGCAGGCGTAGTGATGTTGCGGTAATGTCTCCCCTGCAGGCGTAGTGATGTTGCGGTAATGTCTCCCCTGCAGGCGTAGTGATGTTGCGGTAATGTCTCCCCTGCAGGCGTAGTGATGTTGCGGTAATGTCTCCCCTGCAGGCGTAGTGATGTTGCGGTAATGTCTCCCCTGCAGGCGTAGTGATGTTGCGGTAATGTCTCCCTGTAGGCGTAGTGATGTTGTGGTAATGTCTCCCTGCAGGCGTAGTGATGTTGCGGTAATGTCTCCCTGCAGGCGTAGTGATGTTGTGGTAATGTCTCCCTGCAGGCGTAGTGATGTTGCGGTAATGTCTCCCCTGCAGGTGTAGTGATGTTGCGGTAATGTCTCCCCTGCAGGTGTAGTGATGTTGCGGTAATGTCTCCCCTGCAGGCGTAGTGATGTTGCGGTAATGTCTCCCCTGCAGGCGTAGTGATGTTGCGGTAATGTCTCCCCTGCAGGTGTAGTGATGTTGCGGTAATGTCTCCCCTGCAGGCGTAGTGATGTTGCGGTAATGTCTCCCTGCAGGCGTAGTGATGTTGCGGTAATGTCTCCCCTGCAGGCGTAGTGATGTTGCGGTAATGTCTCCCCTGCAGGTGTAGTGATGTTGCGGTAATGTCTCCCCTGCAGGCGTAGTGATGTTGCGGTAATGTCTCCACTGCAGGCGTAGTGATGTTGCGGTAATGTCTCCCCTGCAGGCGTAGTGATGTTGCGGTAATGTCTCCCCTATGTAATGGTGTATAATATTAATTAGAGCTGTCCAATAATTTAATTGTGATTTAATTGAATGTTTTGAATTTGCTCTAATTTGGCCCTAAAGAAAGAGTTTTCCATTTTAAAAGCAGTGTATTGTGTTCCAGCTTTGACTGTAAGGGACGGAAACACAAGAATCTTATGTTTTTAATAATATTTTCACCATAAAACACAAGTCACTAACATCCAGCTATTAGGTCTCTCTTTATGTAGTGTTGTGGCGTCTCTCTTTATGTAGTGTTGTGGCGTCTCTCTTTATGTAGTGTTGTGGCGTCTCTCTTTATGTAGTGTTGTGGTGTCTCTCTTTATGTAGTGTTGTGGTGTCTCTCTTGTCGTGATGTGTGTTTTTGTCCTATATTTTTATCCCCCGTCCCCGCAGGAGGCCTTTTGCCTTTTGGTAGGCCGTCATTGTAAATAAGAATTTGTTCTTAACTGACTTGCCTAGTTAAATAAAAAATAATGCTCCCATGTTTCAGTAGGCCGACTCTCTCTTATCAATGTTCTTCAAGTTAAGGTGCTGTTTAGAATGTTTGCGTTGTAATTTCAGAAAATGTATGTAATGCATCAGCAGTAATGGCGGAATGATAGTTTCACATTATGACTTACCGCCAGTGTTGCCATTGGCAGGGATATTCACCTATTGATTTCTCCCTCCGGAGTGGAAAGCTGTTCTGTTCTGGCTTTGGCTGTGTTATCTAGTGGAAATCGCTCGTATCATTTCCTGGTTGCGAAAATACTACATTGTTTACTCAATTTCAGTTTATTTGAGAAAACAAGCACTGACTAGTGTAGGTAATCATTGTACCATCTAAATCGCAAAACATATAGTTTTTGTAGCTGGTTTTGGTCCACCAGCTTATAACAGCTGTAAAAACAATATTATTTTTTGTTCTTAAATATTTCACAGTGATTTAGATGGTACAATGCTGCGCTTAAAATGTGAAGAAATAAGTTTAGCACCATTTTAAGGTAAACTTTCTGATCTGTTGCATCAGACTGACTGATTGCCTTCGGAAAGTATTCAGACACCTTGACCTTTTCCTCATTTTGTTAAAGCCTTCTTCTAAAATGGATTAAATCTTTTTTTTCTCATCAATCTACACACAACACCCCATAATGACAATGCGAAAACAGGTTTTTAGACATTTTTGCAAATGTATAAAAATGAGAAATACCTTATTTCCATAAGTATTCAGACCCTTTGATATGAGACTCCAAATTGAGCTCAGGTGCATCCTGTTTCCATTGATCATCCTTGAGATGTTTCTACAACTTGATTTGGAGTCCACCTGTGGTAAATTCAATTGATTGGACATGATGTGCATGTCAGAGCAAAAACCAAGCCATGAGGTCGAAGGAATTCGTCCGTAGAGCTCAGAGACAGGATTGTGTCGGGGCACAAATTGGGGAATTTCTGCAGCATTGAAGGTCCCCAAGAACAGTGGCCTCCATCATTCTTAAATGGAAGAAGTTTGGAACCACCAAGACTCTTCCTAGAGCTGGCCGCCCGGCCGAACTGAGTAATCGGGAGAGAAAGGCCTTGGTCAGGGAGGTGACCAAGAACCCGATGGTCACTCTGACAGAGCTCCAGAGTTCCTCTGTGGAGATGGGAGAACCTTCCAGAAGGACAACCATATCTGCAGCACTCCACCAATCAGGCCTTCATGGTAGAGTGGCCAGATGGAAGCCACTCCTCAGTAAAAGGCACATGACAGCCCGCTTGGAGTTGAATGCCGAGCGTCACGTCTGGAGGAAACCTGGCACCATCCCTACGGTGAAGCATGGTGGTGGCAGCATCATGCTGTGGGGATGTTTTTCAGCGGCAGGGACTGGGAGACTAGTCAGGATCGAGGGAAAGATGATTGGAGCAAAGTACAGAGAGATCCTTAATGAAAACCTGCTCCAGAGCGCTCAGGACCTCAGACTGGGGTGAAGGTTCACCTTCCAACAGGACAACGACCCTGAGCACACAGCCAAGACAACACACGAGTGGCAAGTCTCTGAATGTCCTTGAGTGGCCCAGCCAGACCCCGGACTTAAACCCGATCGAACATCTCTGGAGAGACCTGAAAATAGCTGTGCAGCGACGCTCCCCATCCAACCTGACAGAGCTTGAGAGGATCTGCAGAGAAGAATGGGAGAAACTCCCCAAATACAGGTGTGCCAAGCTTGTCGCGTCATACCCAAGAAGACTCGAGGTTGTAATCGCTGCCAAAGGTGCTTCAACACAAAAGGTGCAACCCACCTAGTAGTGAAGGACATTCAACAAGCACAGCACTTACACAAATGACTGATTTGCTGAGAGAAAGTGATGATAAAAAGATTGGGGGGGCTGTTTTGTTAAGACTTCAGTGCGGCTTTTGACATTCGATCATAGTCTGCTGCTGGAAAAACGTATGTGTTATGGCTTTACACCCCCTGCTATAATGTGGATAAAGAGTTACCTGTCTAACAGAACACAGTGTGTTCTTTAATTGGAGGCCTCTCCAACATAATCCAGGTAGAGTCAGGAATTCCCCAGGGCAGCTGTCTAGGCCCCTTACTTTTTTCAATCTTTACTAATGACATGCCACTGGCTTTGAGTAAAGCCAGTGTGTCTATGTATGCGGATAACTCAACACTATACATGTCAGCTACTGCAGCGAGTGAAATCCCTGCAACACTTAACAAAGAGTTGCTGTTAGTTTCGGAATGGGTGGCAAGGAATAAGTTAGTCCTGAATATTTCCTAAACTAAAAATTGTATTTGGGTCAAATCATTCACTAAACCTCATCTAAATCCTGTAATGAATAATGTGGAAATTGAGCAAGTTGAGGTGACTAAACTGCTTGGAGTAACCCTGGATTGTAAACTGTCATGGTCAAAACATATTGATACAACAGTAGCTAAGATGGGGAGAAGCCTGTCCATAATAAAGCGCTGCTCTACCTTCTTAACAGCACTATCAACAAGGCAGGTCCTACAGGCCCTAGTTTTGTCACACCTGGACTACTGTTCAGTCGTGTGGTCAGGTGCCACAAAGAGGGACTTTACAATTGTCTCAGAACAGGGCAGCACGGCTGGCCCTTAAAAGTACACAGAGAGCTAACATTAATGACATACATGTCAGTCTCTCCTGGCTCAGAGTGGAAGACAGATTGACTTCATCACTGCTTGTTTTTGTAAGAGGTGTTGACAAGCTGAATGTACCGTCTGTTGTTTGGAATACTGGCACACAGCTCGGACACCCATGCATAGCCCACAAGACATGCCACCAGGGGTCTCTTCACAGTCCCCAAGTCCAGAACAGACTATGGGAGGCGCACAGTACTACATAGAGCCATGACTACATGGAACTCTATTCCACATCAGGTAACTGATGCAAGTAGTAAAATCAGATTTTAAAAACAGGTAAAAATACACCTTATGGAACAGCGGGGACTGTAAAGAGACACACACAAGGGTATAGACACATGCATACCAACACATTGGGATATTGTTGTATGACGGTATTAAACATTTTGTATTGTAGATAGGTAGTGGTGTAATAATGTCATATGATGTACTGTTTTATATGTAATGTAAGTGCTTTAATATGTTTGGACCCCAGGAAGAGTAGCTGCTGCCTTGGCAAATACAAGTCAAAGTACTGAGTAAAGGGTCTGAATATTTGTTTTAAATACATTTGCAAAAAGTTCTAAAACCTGTTTTTTCTTTGTCATTATGGGGTATGGTGTGTAGATGAGGGGGGAAAACGATTTACCGTATTTTCCGCACTATAAGGCCCAACCGGAGTATAAGCCGCAGCAGCTAAATTGAATGATATTGAATGATGTGTACATATATAAGCCGCACTGGACTATAAGCCGCAGGTGTTTTAATGTTTAATTACCATATTTAAGGGTTCGTGCACAGAGGGGATTGTCGGGAAAGAGATGGCTGCTTGAGGAAGCTCCCATTTATTAACATTTCAACAAACAAGTTGCATATTTGCATAACGTATTCAAGTGTTACCATTTAGTGCAATAGTAGCTACAGAACATATACTGTGCTGTGTAAACTGTACTGTATCACATAGCGTTTCAGACACACAAACTTTTCAACACTGCTCTCGTTCTGTCTCTCGTACCACTCTCGGTTCCACTTTTGCGCGCTACCTGTCTCACTCTTTTCCGGCCTCCAGCTTTTCCTGCTGGAGCCCGCCGCTTAAAGGTGGGGGGCGCGGACCGGTCATAGAGCCCATAGAGTTAAAGTTGGTGGACTGTAACCTGTAAAATCCATAGATTTAGGAGGTCTTCTAGTGGCCGTTAGCTGTAAAAATCCATAGATTAGCCGCACCGTTATATAAGCCGCAGGGTCGAAAAATGGGGGAAAGGGCGTGGCTTATAGTCCGAAAATTACGGTAATCCATTTTAGAACAAGGCGTAACTTAATGAAATGTGGAAAAATTCAAGGGGTCTGAATACTTTCCGAATGCACTGTATGAATTCGGGATCTATCGTCTCACAGCTGTCCCAGAGTCGGCTATTTAGGAATAGGCAAGCTGACCAATAGAATAGGTAGCCAAAATGTGTTTTCTATAGTAGATTGCTGTTAGGTACTGGTCCTGTTGGCTGAGGAAGAGTAAACGTGGATAGTTATTTTAACATCTTCAAAGTGCACATCAGAATTGGGTAAGAAGGACCACAACCGCACGTTGTTACTTCCTTGACTTGGGATGTTCTGTTTTAACATGGTCATTCATATTTTTAAAGGTGGTCTGTCATCTGAGCACCAATGGGTGGACGGCCTAATCAGGTCACACACCCATTTAGTATGAGGACGTTTTTAAATGCTGCTGGGTAAATGTCCGGCGCCACAGTTTCCCAACGGAAACCCTGGGACAGGCACAGCGTCAGCAGAGTGGTGTGTTGCGCTTAAAAGGGTCCATGCAGTGAAGAAATGGAGATGCAATTAACAGCACATAAATAATTTACAGCATTAAAAATGTCACGCAATAACTTTGACAGCCCTAATAATAATGTGTCCTCTCCTGCAGGTGTGCGTGTATTCATAGAGAAGAAGGCCCAGCTGACTCTGCTGGGGACAGAGATGGACTTTGTGGAGTCCAAGCTGTCCAGTGAGTTTGTCTTCAACAACCCCAACATCAAGGGCACCTGCGGCTGTGGCGAGAGCTTCAACATCTGAGAGAGTCAAACGTCTCCCTCGCACATACACACTCACCACCCACAAACCCCTCGCGCCCACACTCACCACCCACAAAACCCCTCGCGCCCACACTCACCACCCACAAAACCCCTCGCGCCCACACTCACCACCCACAAACCCCCCTCGCGCCCACACTCACCACCCACAAAACCCCTCGCGCCCACACTCACCACCCAAACCCCTCATCCCTTCCCTACCTGGAGGCCTGTGAGTGAAGTGAATAAAGTCCTGATGGACACAACGTGAGACATGGTGTGGAGTTCCCTGAGACAGACAGACAGACAGACAGACAGACAGACAGACACATGGTGTGGAGTTCCCTGAGACAGACAGACACATGGTGTGGAGTTCCCTGAGACAGACAGACAGACACGGTGTGGAGTTCCCTGAGACAGACCGACAGACACGGTGTGGAGTTCCCTGAGACAGACAGACAGACAGACACGGTGTGGAGTTCCCTGAGACAGACAGACACGGTGTGGAGTTCCCTGAGACAGACAGACACGGTGTGGAGTTCCCTGAGACAGACAGACAGACACGGTGTGGAGTTCCCTGAGACAGACAGACAGACAGACAGACATGGTGTGGAGTTCCCTGAGACAGACAGACAGACAGACAGACACGGTGTGGAGTTCCCTGAGACAGACAGACAGACAGACAGACATGGTGTGGAGTTCCCTGAGACAGACAGACAGACAGACAGACACGGTGTGGAGTTCCCTGAGACAGACAGACAGACAGACAGACACAGTGTGGAGTTCCCTGAGACAGACAGACAGACATGGAGGTTTCTGTGCTGCTTCAGAACAGAATGAGTGATGTTGGTCTGGTGATGGTGTACGGTAGGCTAATATCATGTCGCTGAACACTGGGCTTTGACATGCTGAGCCCCTGAAATCACATCTTCCCTTGTTACATAGACATGCATATGGTTCTGGCAGTAACCATAGAGACAGTATCCAAGAGACTTGGAGAGCTGCCAAAATAAAGGAAACACCTGGGCGTAGATTCTACAAGGGTCTGGAACTCTATTGGAGGGATGCGACACCGTTCTTCCAGGATATATTTCATAATTTGGTGTTTTGTTGGTGGTGTAAAATGCCGTCTCTCAGGTGCCACTCCAGAATATTCCCATGAGTGTTGAATTGGTTTGAGATCTGGTGACTGAGACGGCCATGGCATCTGGTTTACATGGTTTTAATGCTCATCAAATCATTCAGTGACCACTCGTGCCCTGTGGATGGAAAATGTAATGCATTGTTATACATGACCCTAAGCATGATGGGATGTTAATTGCTTAATTAACTCAGGAACCACACCTGTGTGGAAGCACCTGCTTTCAATATACTTTGTATCCCTCATTTCCTCAAGTGTTTCCTTTATTTTGGCAGTTCCCTGTAGGTTGAATACAGTCACACAAAGCCAAGGACATATTGGGCATGTTTGAGGGCTAAAGCAACCGTCTGTAGTCTAGGACAGCAGCGTGACGTGGTTTTTCCTTCGTGATAAATGGAGGGCTCGTCATTGTATCTGTGACTGGGCAGCGTCATTGAGGCCATCTCCATTTTTAAAGTAGTCCCATTTTCTTCATTGGCTCATTTCTCCCAGCTCATAGGAATCGCCACCAAGTTGACTACTTTTAAAATGGTGGAATCCCTCAATTCCCATTCTAGCTATGGTAATGAAACAGCGTTCCCCCCCCCCCCCAGGTTGGAACGTTCTGGAAAGTGCAGATAGAAATAAAAACAATCCTGTAAAACAGACGACAGGTAGTAGTTCAACATGACGCAACGTTTTGTAACGTTTGGATATAAATATACAATGTGACGTGGAATAAGGAATCCCGTGGGTTCTATCCGTGGCTATGAACAGCGTTATGCTACTGAACGTGACCCGGCTATCTGGAACATTCTGAATATGATTGCACCCCCACTGAATACACCCCTGATGTGGAAGACATCCGGACAGTGTCTCTGAAACGGATCTTGCAGTTTGTAATTATTTATATTTATATATATATATATAATGTGTGTATGTAGGCCTATAAAGAATGAAGCCCGCCCTCTTTCTTTTTGCTTCATACCAGAACCGCAAGTGTTTGTATAAACATACACTGAGTGTACAAAACATTAGGAACACCTTCCTAATATTGAGTTGCGTCACCTTTTGCCCTCAGAACAGCCTCAATTTGGCAGAGCATGGGACTCTACAAGGTGTCGAAAGCGCTCCACAGGGATGCCGGCCCATGTTGACTCCAATGCTTCCCACAGTTGTGTCAAGTTGGCTGGATGTCCTTTGGGTGGTGGACCATTCTTGATACACACGGGTAACTGTTGAGTGTGAAAAACCCAGCAGCGTTGCAGTTCTTGACACAAACAGGTGCACCTGGCACCTACTACCATACCCTGTTCAAAGCACTTAAATATTTTGTCTTGCCCATTCACCCTCTGAATGGCAAACATACACAATCCATGTCTCAACTGTCTCAAGGCATAAAAATCCTTCTTTAACCTGTCTCCTCCCCTTCATCTACACTGATTGAAGTGGATTTAACAGGTGACATCAATAAGGGATCATAGCTTTCACCTGGATTCACCTGGTCAGTCTGTCATGGAAAGAGCAGGTGTTCCTAATGTTTTGTCCACTGTATATATGTATAGGTCATGTGATGTTAATACTACAGATATGTAACTAGTGCAGTACGGCTATGTACAGTTGGTCATGCGTCTAGACTAGAATAAATAGATTTGAAATCTGTGGTTAGTCTCCTTTGTCATTTACTGTTTCTGTCTCAGTAAAACATTGAATGGATTGTTAAGGGATGTGTTGTGATGTGAATGATAGATGATTTATGTTGTGACGTGAGTGTGGTGCCAGGGTAGCCTCTCCCTCAACGTGATCAAGACAAAGGAGGTGATTGTGGACTACAGGAAAAAAAAGAGGACTGAGCACGCCCCCATTCTCATCGATGGGGCTTTAGTGGAACAGGTTGAGAGCTTCAAGTTCCTTGGTGTCCACATCACCAACGAACTATCATGGTCCAAACACACCAAGACAGTCATGAAGAGGGCACGACAAAGCCTATTCCCCCTCAGGAGACTGAAAAGATTTGGCATGGGTCCTCAGATCCTCAAACTATACAGCTGCACCATCGAGAGCATCCTGACTGGTTGCATCACCGCCTTGTATGGCAACTGCTTGGCCTCCGACCGCAAGGCACTACAGAGGGTAGTGCGTACGGCCCAGTACATCACTGGCGCCAATCTTCCTGCCATCCAGGACCTCTATACCAGGCGGATTTTATTTATTTATTTTATTTTATTTATTATCTGCAGTCCTCATGCCTCCTTGCAGCATGCCTAAGGCATGTTCAAACAGATGAGCAGGGACCCTGGGCATCTTTCTTTTGGTGTTTTTCAGAGTCAGTAGAAAGGCCTCTTTAGTGTCCTAAGTTTTCATAACTGTGGCCTTTAATTGCCTACCGTCTGTAAGCTGTTAGTGTCTTAACGACTGTTCCACAGGTGCATGTTCATTTAATTGTTTATGGTTCATTGAACCTTTACAATGAAGATCTGTGAAGTTATTTGGATTTTCACGAATTATCTTTTAAAGACAGGGTCCTGAAAAAGGGGACATTTCTTTTTTTTTTGCTGAGTTTAGAACCAATCAACTGTCTCTTTTCTTATCCCTAACGTTCATCTTTGGATATGCATCATCACTTCAGGTCACTATGACATCAGAAGTGATGCTTCAGGTCACTATGACATCACCTCCAGTACCGTTAGCAGGAGGTAAAATTCTGAGTCAGTGGTTTACTGTACTGAGATGACCTGCTAACAGGTTGTGTGACTCTGGACTCCGAAGGCTCATTGAATCATGGGAAACCAACGGAGGAAGAGAGAGAGGGAACACAGTGATTCTGGGTTTAAGGTATGAACCATGGAATGATGTCATTCACTGATGGCGCTTTCAAGACAACTGGGAACTCAAGGGGGAAAAAACGAGGCCAAATCATGACGAGGCATGACACAATAGTCAAGTAGGCTTTGCATTGCGTCAACCAATGGGCAGTCGGGCATCCGGTTGCTATATCATATGATGTGGTTAGCTGATGTTAACCTATCCAGGAGTTGTCAGATCTTGCAATGCTTCTGGAGGAACTCTACCATTCATTACTGGAGACAGTAAAACAGTCAGGGTCTATGTGTTGCGTCATCATGGCTCCTCCTGGGGTGTATTCAGCAGCAACCAAACGGGACAAAACAGTTTTCCGTTGCAAAACGTTTCACTGCGGTTTCCACTAATGAAAAAACACCCCTGGGGTGTATTAATTAGTCTATTCCATTGCAAAACGTTTGGTCTGTTGCAAAACCTTTTGCAATGTAAACTGTTTACTCCAAATGGGAAAACGTTTTTCAATGAAAACGTCGAGTTTCTGTTGGAAACATCCAGGTAGGTCCCTCCTCGTTTCGTCTCGTTTGCTTCCGTTTGGTTCCCGGAGTAAACCGTATACGGTTTCCATTGCAAAACGTTTTGCAACAGACAAAACATTTTGCAGAGGAATCTGACTAATGAATACACCCCTGTTTCAGATCTCTGAGCTGCTGACCCAACTGGCTGTGAGGAGAACCACGCCCCCTAATGGGCCCCTCCCCCATAACGTCAGCCTCCTCCCCGCGGTCCGAGGAACGAACCGCCACCACCCGCTCCAAGGCCCAGCTCCCAGAATGCATCACGAGACTCTCAGACACCCAGTGTCGGAAGTGGTACCACCAGAGACAAGCCACGCCTTTCTCCGGCTCTACCCCCACCCCAGCCCTTAACCCTACGCTCGCGGGACACACCCCTGCTCCCGCCTCCGCCAATAGCAGCCAACCAGGGGGAGAGAGATCCAGCCTGGTGTCCCCTGATTCATTCTTCCTACCCTATCTGGCGGCACGGGAGACGGTGAAGCGCTGTGATTCGCTGGTGAGGGATCTGTTCCAGAGAGGGGTATTCTAGTGCCCCGGGTGAACCGGGTTAACGTTGATTTATGCCCCGAGCCTGCCCCAGGTGAACCGGGTTAGCGTTGATTTATGCCCCGAGCCTGCCCCAGGTGAACCGGGTTAGCGTTGATTTATGCCCCGAGCCTGCCCCAGGTGAACCGGGTTAGCGTTGATTTATGCCCCGAGCCTGCCCCAGGTTAAGGTGCCCGCAGGTTGGGTTTGCTTCTAGCAGAACTCGGTGAAGGGAATGTCTGTGCCTCGCAGCACTGAAACCTTAGCGGCAATATTATTATTATTATCATTGAGACGCCGTAGCAACAACAGTATACACTAACTCAAAATAGTTTGAATTAATCTAAGGTAAATCAAGAAATTTGTAATAAATGTTTGTTTTTGCCGAAGAGGTCTTTGTAGCGCATTTTAAATCTAAGATGTTTGGTACCGTATTTCTAAAGTGAAAAAATGTGCAGGAAAACTAGTCGTCTCAGGTGGGGGAAAAAAACTGCCGAACACCAAAATGTCATAATAATAATAATAATAATAATATGCCATTTAGCAGACGCTTTTATCCAAAGCGACTTACAGTCATGCGTGCATAATTTTTTTTTTTTGTGTATGGGTGGTCCCGGGGATCGAACCCACTACCTTGGCGTTATAAGCGCCGTGCTCTACCAGCTGAGCTACAGAGGACCACATCATAATGTATGCGCGAACTGTTGACTGGGAGGCATGCGACAGGCTTTAGCGTTGATTAATGCCTCGGGCCTTCCCCCATTTTAGTGTTGATTAATTCCCCGGGTTAGCGTTGATTGCATTCGCTTTGAGCCAGGTGCCCTGTTTTGGCTGACGGCAAAGTCGGCGCAATACAAAAGTAATGTAGGTTAATCACGTGGAGTAATGAGTAGGATTCTTTTGTGATTGCTTTTGATAAAAAGGCTTGATCTGCATTCCCAATGAAAACTAGTTTTAACATTTTATGGAAAAGATGTATGTTTCTGGACGATGGACCATGATGCCTTGTTGACAACATGACCGAGCGGCGCAGAATACTGTTCGATTTCAGATGGCCGCTTCTCCTTCACCACTTTGGCCCGTTCAAGTCACGGGCCATAACCCGGTGCACATAACCGAACTCTCATCGTCTCCGGTAGGACCAGCCATCTACTTTGAATTCTCAAATAAATGCAATCAATTAATCAATCATTCAGGTGTGTCCAGACATCCTGGGGGTGAAGGAGTGGTCGAAACAGAGGCCTGCTGCCTGGACCAAGGCTACCACAGCACCACAACGCATGTCAATAGAACCCGGTAAGACATGGAGCTGTCCCAAATGGCTCCGCTAGTCCCAGTGTTTCCCCTGGGGTGGAAATGTTGCTGTTTAAAAGTTTATTTCCTGTAATTGTACACACATTACACCACTTCATACTGTATCTAAATGACAACATTTTATGATACCAAATTTTATTTTGTCACATACACGTGTTTAGCAGATGTTATAGCGGGTGTAGCGAAATGCTTGTGCTTCTAGCTCCGACAGTGCAGTAATATCTAACAATTTCACAACATATACCCAATACACACAAAAAAGTAAGGAATGGGATTTAAGAATATATACATGGACAAACAATGACAGAGCGGCATGGACTAAGATACAGTAGAATATTATAGAATATGAGATGAGTAGTGCAAGATACAGTGGGGGAAAAAAAGTATTTAGTCAGCCACCAATTGTGCAAGTTCTCCCACTTAAAAAGATGAGAGGCCTGTAATTTTCATCATAGGTACACGTCAACTATGACAGACAAAATGAGAAAAGAAAATCCAGAAAATCACATTGTAGGATTTTTCATGAATTTATTTGCAAATTATGGTGGAAAATAAGTATTTGGTCAATAACAAAAGTTTCTCAATACTTTGTTATATACCCTTTGTTGGCAATAACACAGGTCAAACGTTTTCTGTAAGTCTTCACAAGGTTTTCACACACTGTTGCTGGTATTTTGGCCCATTCCTCCATGCAGATCTCCTCTAGAGCAGTGATGTTTTGGGGCTGTCGCTGGGCAACACGGACTTTCAACTCCCTCCAAAGATTTTCTATGGGGTTGAGATCTGGAGACTGGCTAGGCCACTCCAGGACCTTGAAATGCTTCTTACGAAGCCACTCCTTCGTTGCCCGGGAGGTGTGTTTGGGATCATTGTCATGCTGAAAGACCCAGCCACGTTTCATCTTCAATGCCCTTGCTGATGGAAGGAGGTTTTCACTCAAAATCTCACGATACATGGCCCCATTCATTCTTTCCTTTACACGGATCAGTCGTCCTGGTCCCTTTGCAGAAAAACAGCCCCAAAGCATGATGTTTCCACCCCCATGCTTCACAGTAGGTATGGTGTTCTTTGGATGCAACTCAGCATTCTTTGTCCTCCAAACACGACGAGTTGAGTTTTTACCAAAAAGTTATATTTTGGTTTCATCTGACCATATGACATTTTCCCAATCCTCTTCTGGATCATCCAAATGCACTCTAGCAAACTTCAGACGGGCCTGGACATGTGCTGGCTTAAGTAGGGGGACACGTCTGGCACTGCAGGATTTGAGTCCCTGGCGGCGTAGTGTGTTACTGATGGTAGGCTTTGTTACTTTGGTCCCAGCTCTCTGCAGGTCATTCACTAGGTCCCCCCGTGTGGTTCTAGGATTTTTGCTCACCGTTCTTGTGATCATTTTGACCCCACGGGGTGAGATCTTGCGTGGAGCCCCAGATCGAGGGAGATTATCAATGGTCTTGTATGTCTTCCATTTCCTAATAATTGCTCCCACAGTTGATTTCTTCAAACCAAGCTGCTTACCTATTGCAGATTCAGTCTTCCCAGCCTGGTGCAGGTGTACAATTTTGTTTCTGGTGTCCTTTGACAGCTCTTTGGTCTTGGCCATAGTGGAGTGTGACTGTTTGAGGTTGTGGACAGGTGTCTTTTATACTGATAAGAAGTTAAAACAGGTGCCATTAATACAGGTAACGAGTGGAGGACAGAGGAGCCTCTTAAAGAAGAAGTTACAGGTCTGTGAGAGCCAGAAATCTTGCTTGTTTGTAGGTGACCAAATACTTATTTTCCACCATAATTTGCAAATAAATTCATTAAAAATCCTACAATGTGATTTTCTGGATTATTTTCTCATTTTGTCTGTCATAGTTGACGTGTACCTATGATGAAAATTACAGGCCTCTCTCATCTTTTTAAGTGGGAGAACTTGCACAATTGGTGGCTGACTAAATACTTTTTTCCCCCACTGTATGTAGACATTATTAAAGTGACTAGTGTTCCATTTCTTAAAGTGGCCAGTGATTTCAATAGGCAGCAGCAGCCTCTAATGTGCTAGTGATGGCTATTTAACAGTCTGATGGCCTTGAGATAGAAGCTGTTTTTCAGTCTCCGGTCCCAGCTTTGATGCACCTGTACTGACCTGGCCTTCTGGATGATAGTGGGGTGAACAGGCAGTGGCTCGGGTGGTTGATGTCCTTGATGATCTTTTTGGCCTTCCACTATACATACGTGTTAGCATGTGTCTCCTCACAATCCGCATTGTTCCATAAAGGTGCAGTTTTTTGTTTTGAACATCTTTTTTAAAATCTGATTTTACTGCTTGCATGAGTTACTTGATGTGGAATAGAGTTCCATGTGCCTCCCATAGTCTGTTCTGGACTTGGGGACTGTGATTTTAAATATTGACTGGCTTTCATCAAGCTGCCCACTCAAGAAAAAGCTTCAAACTGTAATCTGTGCCTGCAACCTGGTTCAAGGTTATCATTCAACCTACCAGGGTAGTTACAAACTGCACAGGAATGAAATCATAAACATGTATTGATCACATCTTTAATGCTGTAGAAATTTGCTTGAAAGCAGTATCCAGATCCATCGGATGTAGTGATCACAATATAGCAGCCATATCTAGGAAAACCAAAGTTCCAAAGGCTGGGCCTAATATAGTGTATAAGAGGTCATACAATACGTTTTGTAGTGATTCCTATGTTGTTGATGTAAAAATATTTGTTGGTCTGTAATGAGGAGCAAACAGACGCTGCACTTGACGCATTTATGAAATTGAAAAATGGTATGGTTGAGAGGGATGAGGCAAAAGGAATGGCAAATAAGTCTGGCTGCACAACTGATTGGCAAACGTATTGCAAATTTAGAAATCATGTGACTAAACTGAATAAAAAGATGAAACAACACTATGAAACAAAGAAATGATATAAAGAATGATAGTAAAAAGCTTTGGAGCACCTTAAATGAAGTTTTGGGCAAAAAGGCAAACTCAGCTCCTTCATTCATTGTATCAGATGGTTTATTCATCACAAAACCCACTGATATTGCCAACTACTTTAATAATTTTTTTATTGGCAAGATTAGCAAATTTAGGCATGACATGCCAGCAACAAATGCTGACACTAATAATAATAATAATAATAATAATAATAATAATAATAAGCCATTTAGCAGACGCTTTTATCCAAAGCGACTTACAGTCATGCGTGCATACATTTTTGTGTATGGGTGGTCATCCAAGTACAGTGGGGGAAAAAAGTATTTAGTCAGCCACCAATTGTGCAAGTTCTCCCACTTAAAAAGATGAGAGAGGCCTGTAATTTTCATCTTAGGTACACGTCAACTATGACAGACAAAATGAGAAAACAAATTCCAGAAAATCACATTGTAGGATTTTTTTTTAAATGAATTTATTTGCAAATTATGGTGGAAAATAAGTATTTTGCTAAATTATGTGAATGTAATAATAGCGGACGATATTGCCACTCCTATTTGCCATATTTTCAATTTAAACCTACTAGAAAGTGTGAGCCCTCAGGCCTGGAGGGAAACAAAAGTCATTCCGCTACCTAAAAATAGTAAAGCCCCCTTTACTGGCTCAAATAGCCGACCAATTAGCCTGTTACCAACCCTTAGTAAACTATTGGAAAAAATTGTTTGACCAGATACAATGCTATTTTACTGTAAACAAATTGA